TACCCTATAACCTTTGAATAGATCAACCTAAACCACGTGTCTTGAATTTAAATCACAATAACATTAGTAGGGGGTGTATCTGACTATTTAAGATAATAAGGGGCTTAGATTCATCTAAATTTGTCAGCTGAATGCGTCTTGGGTTATCAGAGTGTGTTAAATAAAATGTAGGTCACAATGACCTACTTTTGGAAATTAAAACTTTATCTATATGTATAAGATACTAATCAGCTTCAAATAGAAGTAATAAATTAAACAATACATCAAAGAGCGATTCAAGTCCCTTAGGTTTATGTTTATTGTGAGAAAGAGACAATTGAAGATTTGAATTATTTAAGGTAGGATTCTTCTCACACAAAACTGTATTTTTTGTATTTAAAAATTAATGAATTTTTCACAGAATCGAGAAGACAATATTGCTAATTGATGGTATCAGATTAGTTTTGACCGTTTTATATTAGAGTCAAGGTCCGGTAAAGGTCATTACCTTTTCCCTGGTCATTAAGAATGAAAATAACTGCATCCAATCATGAGATACCTATTTCAAAAGAAAATTTATCTTTTTGAATAAAAAGATATTACCGTATAGGGTCAATAAGATGATATTACCAAATTCACACAAACAGTTTAACAAAAATGGATTTTATATGCAATTTTCTTAAATTTTTGGTAAATTTTTAGGATATTTAAGTTATTTTTATATACGCCCTATATTTAAATTTTTCTTATTTTCACATATGGTAAAGAAGTCATATAAAGATACAAAATGATACAAAAACAATAAGTTTTGACCGTTTAGTAAGAGAGTAATTAAACACTTTTAACGGATTTTTGGCTCATATCTGTACTTAGATTGGAAGCTTTTAAAGGCCAACATAATTGTACTTTGTTTGGAAATTCATATATATGTGATATATTTTAAAACTTAAGTTCCTTATTATTAATTTAGCTAACATTTGAAAAATTCTTCTAGTGTTTGATTGTGTAAAAATTATATTAATCATAGATCAAATCAAAATATTATCGTACACGTTTGTCTCTGCTGTCATTATTTAGAAAACTTTAATTATTTATGATAGCATATTTGTCCACGAACTTTATGGACAAATATCGTACATATATACATGTATTTATCAGAGCAATTACTTGTAGCCTACTACCATAAAAGTGAAATTCATGATCTTTGTAGGAACTGGTCCATATGCCGGACATAAAATAAATCCAGTCAAAGCGCCCCCTAATAAAACCATCCCGGTCAAAGCGTCCCCCGATTTTGGTCAAAATGCCCCCTGATTTTGGTCACAGCGCCCCTTTATAGAATATTACAGTTAAATGATGTTACAAAACCGCCCTCAAAGCGTCCCTTGATTTTGGTCAAAGCGTCTCTGATTTTAGTCAAAGCGCCCCCTAACATATTTTTTCTTAGAAAAAATTGTTTCGAAACCGTCCCCAAGCAATGGTCAAAATGCCCCCGATTTTGGTCAAAGCGTCCCTAGATTTTGGTCAAAACGCCCCCTAACATAATTTTATAGAAAAAAAAATCGTTTCGAATCCATCCCCAAGCAATGGTCAAAATGTCCCCTGATTTTTTTACTGGCACCTAGCAAGATTTTTTAAACTCCAAAATAAAAGCCAGAAATTTCACATCTTGATTTTAGGCCACACCAGTTTAATTTCTTGTTCGTCGGACATTTGATGAAAAAAGTACGAGCGGGCTAGCGGTTGAATAATAATACTATTACTTTTTTGTAGGCAAGATTTTTAGGCGGAGTGTGAAAAAATTTGAGCGGACAATTGTATTTTTTCTGATTTGCAGAGTAAGTTGCTTAAAAGTACGATAAATAGAGCGGAAATATAACAGGAAACAGCACATTAAACGAACAATTTTTTTTTATTGGTGTGGCCTTACCTGAGCCCTCTAGCTGTAATTACCCCCACCCCTTCCCAAAATTCTATCAAAATATGTTAGGGGGCGCTTTGACCAAAACCAGGGGACGCTTTGACCAAAATCAGGAGGCATTTTGACCATTTCTTGGGGACAGTACTTAATGATTTTTTTTTATATTGAAATATGTTAGGGGTGCTTTGACTAAATCAGGGGACGCTTTGGTCAATATTTGGGGGCGGTATTTTGTCTACAAAATATGTTAGGGTGCGCTTTGACTTAAATCAGGGAAATGACTAAAATCAGGGGACGCTTTGACCAATATTTGGGGGCGGTATTTTTTCTACAAAAAAAAATGTTAGGGGGTGCTTTGACCAAAATTAGGGGGCGCTTTGACCAAAATAAGGGGACGCTTTGACCGGGACGTTTTTATTAGGGGGCTCTTTGACTGGCTCCCCTGAATAAATCCAGGCGCTTTGACTAAAATCAGGGGGCGCTTTGACCAATATTTGGGGGCGGTATTTTTTCTTTAAAAAAATGTTAGGGGGTGCTTTGACCAAAATTAGGGGGCGCTTTGACCAAAATCAGGGGACGCTTTTACCGGGACGTTTTTATTAGAGGGCTCTTTGACTGGCTCCCATGAAGAAACAAATTCAGGACTATTAAGTATTTTTGATATCTAACTACAATCTGTTTAAATTAAATTTATTTTTGAGACGTAATGAAGCACTAGTCCATTAATTTTTGTTAAAATACCCTTTTGGAAAGACGTGATAAACCTTTTTTTGAAAGGCGTCATAACTTTTTCTTTAGACGTTTTAACGCCGTATGAAAGTCATAACCCTTTCCAACGCCTTTTTAAAAAAGTTTTTCTTCTAAATATTGATCCGTATAGGCTTTCGTACATGCAGGATGGCGGAAGGTACACTATTGTTAGCGCAGTGCGGTGCAGTCAAAACGCCTCCCTAGCGCCGTCAATTTTACGTAGATCGCATGAGGGCACGGACAAAATTACAGAGTAGTGGTTGTGAACTTTTAGAACATGGTGCAGATGTTTAATTTGTATACACGGGTCAGAGCTGATAAAGAAATCAGGACGTACTGCGTAGCACGGTGAGATCTGTACTGTTATTTAAATAAGAACGCCATACACTGTAATTAATTAGATCTTTAGATCCATACGTATAACTGTTATGTGCAAGAAATTCCTTTTTTGCACGAATTAATTTCATTGAATAATTCTGTTCTCTCTGTAAGTCTACGTTTCAATCGATAATAAAATTGGGCCCTGTCATGAAATGAAACGGATCTCGCCTAAAGGAAGTTTAATGTTCCGAATTATATTATCGTGGTGTTTATTTACAATTCATCTATTTAACATATATTTATCTACTTATTTATATTTTGCATGTTCACCCTGAAGGTGAAGGTGCAAGGTGCCCCATCAGAACACTGTTCGAATGATTTATTTTTCTTCTACAATTTTTTGTTACAGGTACATGTATTGACTGTGCACCCCCTCCCCACTAGGCCACTAGAAATACATATATATATTTTATTTGAGTTTGGATACGCACTTACTGTGAAGAGACAGTCACACATAACTATATTAAAATTTCTTACAAGTATTAAGAAATAAAGAAGAGAATTCATCAACATGACAGAGAATACATTAACTTCATTGTTTGTTTCTGTCTAAAAAACACCCCTGGCAGGACATTAACCTTTTATCTCTGACTGATTTCAATGGTTTAAAATTCAACCGTGCTGCTCGCATTTTTTCCGAAGTAATTTAAGATGATGACTTAGTAAAAAAAAAAAGAAGTAGATGCCTATGTTTCCAAACTTTTGCCGAAATTTGAAAAATTGTATTTCTCCATGTCAAATCAAAAAAGAAATAGATATGCCACAAATGTGTTGGTTACAAAGAAAATGAAGGGTTTTTTATTTCCATCAAACATAAAATAATAAATTTTGATTATATGCTGAGGTAATTTTGGTTATAGTAGGTGTTTGATAAATTGATGAATTATTAATAAAAATGCTTGAATTGGATACTGCCTGAAATTGAAATATACTTACTTTTAATCAGAAATTGAACTCTCGGCTCTACATAAAGAATTTTGAAAAATATGTTGAGCTTTGTCAAATTTATGGTCCATATGACCACTTAACTTACGATGTTTATAGATAAATTTAAAGTATGTTTTGTTTTTTCTTTTTCCCCCCACATATTTATACATCGATGATGAAGTCATAACGTAAAGTTGCTGAAGGTGATTCAATAAATGAAACAGAATTTTTTTTTTTTTTTCAAATTTGAATTTATGTCTGTTAAATGTTGAAATTAAAATATTCATCATCTTTTTAAGCACTGAATTCATATTTTGGGATGTCTTTGGTCCTATAACACACCTGGCCGTGCGGACAAATAATAATAACGCGCGAAAGCGCGGGGGTGAATTTGCCGGCACGGCCAGGTGTGTTATAGGACCGAAGACATCCCAAAATATGAATTTAATGCTTATATTTACATTCTTTAATTTTCCTCTATCGTGATTGTTGTTTATTTAGTTCATATTTAAAGTGAATTAAAACGCCCTTCGGTATTGGAGTGCTTAATAAACGTAAGAGCCGTTTCGTTACGTTGGAAAGCCGTTTGTGATGTTGGAAAGTTAAATAACGCAAATAAACATTGCAAAGAAAAAAATAACAAATTAATTTTTATGTTTCCATACGGAATTAATTAATTTTTAATGCACATTTGTTGTATTTTACGTTAATTTTAAAAGGGTATTTTTTCAAAATGAAATTGAGTGAAAACAATAAACATTTTGGTGTTCCTAAATATTGAAAAAGCATGTAGTTCCTACTGTGTATTCTACCGCGCCGTGACTCTAAAAAGGTTTCGTTACAAAGAAATATGTTAGACTTTGCTTTGGAAAGAAATTTGAAAATGGCGCGGCATTTCTAATGGATTATATAAATTTTAAATTGTTATATACGCAAATGTAAATGTAGATATTTGTATTATATAAAGAAAATCACAGAAAAATGAAAATTGCAATGCTTTATGACAAAATCAGTGATGAATCAATAAATTTTATTTTTTCAGGCAAAACACCCCATGACGTGGAGAGATGTCTGGGAAGTGGCATTGGGGTTCGAACCCCCCGTCACCCATTTCTCTGCTGCGATCTCCGCAATCATCATCTATCTCCTGGCTCTGTTATTCTGTTATGTCTCTTACCAACTAGCAAAGGCATTAATGCCCGGGATCGTACAAGAATACGTCCTCGATTTCTTTAAAACCTTGGCCTTCTGTACATACTGTTTTGGGCATGGGGTTATAAGGAACGCACATGGTCATCTTGGATATGTTTTGTGCGTGGTGCCATTGAATACGGCTAGTGTGCTTATATTTAACATAGGCGATGGAACACCTCTAACTGTTTGGTCCAAGTATCTTCGAGGTCTAATTCCAAAATGGAAATTCATCCTTAAAGTGTCTGCTCAAATTCTTGCAGGGTTTTTCGCCTGGGAGCTTGGACATTATATTTTAAGTCTGGATTTTCATTCGACTTTCTCTGAGAAATTAATTCAAAAATCAAATTGTAGTTCCGATCTTAGAATTGCTGCTTTAGGCGGATTTGCTTTAGAAGGAATTGGAGTTGCTTATGATTTCTGGATGAACCAGCAGACGCTCTCTAAATACAGACCTTTAGACATAGCCCTGAAGTTTACCAATACAGCACTGGTTGTATGCATAGGTAGGTTAAATCTTCGTAGATGCCAGGAAGCTGTATATTTGTTGGTATATTTTTACATAATTGATGTGACACGATAAAATATTTTTTAAAATCTGGCGATATTTTATTTCTTTAAATTTTAACAATAATATGTACATTTTTAATCACTAAATAAATAAATTATTTTTGAGGGTTTATTTCTACACTCGGAAACAATTTCCTTTACTTTTTTTTCCTGACTGATCAATTCTATTTTTTAGGTGTGAAAATGACTGGGATGTATATACACCCAGCTTTAGCCACTGGACGAACCATTGGTTGTGGAAACACCCCCATCTTGTCTCACCTACTTGTTTACTGGGGCGGACCTTTTGTAGGAATATACTTAGGACTTAAGGTGAGCTGATGATATAAAAAAAACAAAAACAGAAAAAATTTTAAAGAAGATGGGCGAAGAAGGGAAACGAAATGCCTATAGTTCAACAAATATGAAAGTGAACAATTAAAATAAATTATATCAAAATTTCTTTGGTTCTTTGATATTTTATATAGCATTAAAGTTTAAGTTGTTAAATCGTCCAGATTGAAATTACTTGTCTATGATGTACATGTAGCTAAGTTACACACACACAAGAAGGCAAAACGGATCACTTTTTCATACTGTAACACATCTTTTTTTATGTGAGTGGGTCTTTACTCTTTTTTGAAAGTTATCTTCAAAGTTTGGGTAAAAATATATATTTTTGGTTTACAGAAACATGGAGCAAAGACCCACTATCCCTAAAAAAATAAAAAAACACTTTTATGACATGCAATGTACATATGTAATATTTGCAGCATTCTGAGAAGTACTAGAAGTCTATTTAGTTAGGGGTCATATTATAGACATGATTTAAATACTACTATTCTTCAGAAGTTGTGTAGCATAATAATAAGCCAGTAACTGATACTTAGGAATTTTATAACTAGGGTTCGAACCGCACAAATAAATTGCCATCATAATTTTTTAAATTAAAAGTATATAATTTTTGCCGAGAAAATCTTCCTGAGAAGTTTTGTTTTTAATTGTTTCATTATAAATTTTCATAATGAGAACTTTACGCTAAATTCTTAATTCACAAACTGAGTATGATTTGCATAAATTATATACATGTATATCCGAAGGCATAATCATTCTTGTTCACACATCTTTATATCAAAATAAATTGCCAAAATATGAGGCCTCAAAATGAAGCAGTATATATTTTGAGCTTAAACAGTGTAAATGCACATGCATCATGACACAATGCAAATTTAAAAATTCAAATTTCACATGATACATGTATTTGGATCCATTTGTATCTACAAAAACAAATTGGAGTTTATCCTTTTTTGTGTTAGAATTAATTGATTCACGCAAATATTATATGGTTATTTTAACTCCGTGTTATTGTCTGTCTTTCACTCTTGCAATCCCTGTTTTAAATCTGTTTAGTCACCATTCTTTGAAATATAATTTTGCTCCATTTTCATCCTCGCCATTTATAACAAGGGCAATGGGGTACGTACATTAACATTTTTTATTTTATTTTTCAGGCTAGCGAATTCTTTTGTTTTTTCAACGAATCGACTGATATTAAAGAAAATGCTAAAAGTGTTCAGAGTGATTCGCATAACAGAAAAGTACAGTCAGGAAAAGTACGGCAAAGAAAGAAACAAACTGGAAAAGAAACGTGACACTGTTCAGAAATCTTACAGAATAAATTTTAACATTCTTACACTTCTTAATTTATTGATGAAACATATATTGAATTATGATTAGAGTAAGTCCCCTTTAAATGTTTTCTTCAACTTGTTATAGTAAGACAAAAGTTTTTTTGAAATCTGCCAACATTGCTTCATTTTAGTAAACCCTGATTAAAGCCAACCTAAAAAAAAACGATAAAATGGTCATAGTTCAACAGGCAGATGTTGAAAAAAATGTAATACCATGTCACAGGTGCGGCAGAAAAAATAGAATTTTACCAGAAATAATATTGATTATAAAAAAGGAAAAAGGATTTTCAAAGAGTGAAAGAATAACTGAAAACCATTTTTAAAAAATCTGAAATTAATATATAAATCACAAGCTGTATTAAACTATTAATGAGATTCAATCGTCTGACTGTGCATGCCCAATTATTTCAAGAGAGCAACATTTGATTATGATGTTTTACTCCCTCTCTGGAAAACCTTTTATCGGTATATTATTTTCTCGCATAATCACCAGTGTAAGATTGACTTGTCCGGTGTGAGACAGCAGTGTGAGATTTTTCTGTCTCACACTGTGTATTACTACGCCACGAACGATAACGTAAACATTCCGTCTTTATATAAAGAAATTGTAACAATGTAAAAAAAATATTAGACATACTTAATATGTTGTCATTTAACTGATTAATATAAACTTATTTTCATTCAAAATATTGTCATGTTTTCACTTTTTAAATGGCACTATTTTAAGATCGCGGAATGATTCTTCTTTAACGCTCTTGGATAGATAAGTCTTTTATTCCCAGATTTTATCTATCTGATTAATTTACACGGACTGAAATTTATTTTACCAGTTTACACTTTGTGTAAACCATTTTCAGGTACGCTCTCTCCGATGGTGTATTTAGATTTTTAATTAGATGGAAAAATTAAAATATTTTTTTTGCCCCAATATGGCGACGTCATTGACAGGCCGTTATTTTGGATAAAATAATGCGAGAAAAACAATCATTCATTACATACTCGTGTGGGAATAGTGAAATTCCACCTCGTCGCCAAGATTCACGGTCTAGGACTCGGCAAAGCCTCGTCCTAGACTGTGAATCTTGTCCCCTCGGTGGAATTTCACTATCCCACACTCGTAGTAATGAATGATTCTATTACTCTTATTTCTGTTTTGGAGGACAAAAGACGTAGTACACATAAAGAACATTTTTCTTTACTAAATAGATCTATCAATTGAGAAAAAGGTCTGTCTGCGGTTCAGATCTATATTTCAATGGTCAGGAGTGAAACACAATTTTTAAATACAAGTTATACGATGAACGCTTCTATTCTTACATAAAATATTATTTAATTGATATTTTTGAATTATTTAGAACTAAATTATTGACAGTTTTGTTATAAAAAATCATTCTCTTTTTCAATTCTTTAGATTAAGATTTTTTATCTTTTCTTTGATATCTTTTATTGAAATAATAAATAGGAAACACACTGAAATATATTTAAGCTAGATTTTTACATAAATAAAAAATAATTCAAGATGCCAAATTTAACTACTGTCATGATTTTTATTTATAAATTATTGAATAATAAGAATTTTACAGTTTCATAAAATATGATGTTGACAACACTTTTTGAATTTTCGTGCTCTATGGTTTTTATTTTATTTTAAATTTTTCAGCAGTCAGTAGACTAAGTATAACATTTCTTTCTAAAATAATTATCAATGAATTTCATCTATCATTACTAATCTTTACTAATAGGGGGAAAAGCTGCAGAAAATGTTTGATACCATTTAATGTTCAAATCATTATGTCTACAACACACTACAAATATATTACAGTCAGTTTAATTCCGAGATTATTTGTTTATCATTTTAACATATATACAGGTAAACTTCATTATCTCGGCATCGGCGGGACAATCGGAAAATGTCGAGATATCCGAGGTGTCGAGATATCAGAGTTGAAACTCGTCGTCCTTAATTTTACTGCATAGTAAAACACATGTAACTGCGGATATAGCTTCAATAGACTATAGCTTGTTTGTTTCAGCCATTCCTTTATATTTATGAAAAAATCTAAGAATTTATTCAAAAGCGTTATTTATCGAAATCTTCTCATTTTACTAATAACATTTTTCAATCCAGAAATTCCGAATCGTAACGGTATAAAGTCTTTCGTGATACGGAAAAGAATAACTTGCGTATTTTTTTTAAAAACTATTTCATTTCACTTAATTTTTTATTTCACCATCATTCATCATTATTTTTTAAAATAATTAAACAACTTTTGATGTAAAATTGTGTTGCTTTTTTAAGTACAACCGTAGTAACGGAAGTGATTTGAAGCGAGGGGAGGTAAAATGATTAAAGGAGCCATGATGTTTGTTTACATGAGGTAAGAATGAGTAATTGTTTAAAGTTGAAGGTACATTTATTAAATCTGGAATTTTCCATGGATTCCGAGGACTGGAAATGAGGAGATTGCATGGGTATGATGATTAAGCTGGTCGTCAAGGGGGTGTGTCCCCATACCAAACCAGATTATACAAAATGTTTTGCGTTCCCTTTTGGAAATCAACCAATGAGAGGCGAGAATACAAACAAAATTGAATTATTTCATTGTCAAATCAAAATTTAAAAGGATTTGTGTATTTAAACAAAATTAATGATATTACACAGGAACATTACGGCTGATTCAAATAATATTGCGTGTCGTAGATTGGATTGTATCCTGATGAAAGCATTTTTACCACAATTTTTAAGTTAAATTGAATTCAATGTATTTATTATTCGTTATAATTTAGCTAATTTTTTTTTTTTTACAGTTGTTAAAGTTATATTTGGTTTCGACATATATAAATGCCTTTACATTTATGCAGAATCGAGTAGATTTATCATTGATGTTATTGTCGACATATCCGATGTTGAGATACCGAAGTTTACCTGTACCTTTAAATACGATATAAAGAACACTTTGCAAATAATCTTGAAATGAAATATATGGAGATAACCAACGGTATTCAAAGTCAAAAATCCATTTAACAATACTAAATAGGAGCAGAGGAAACACGGACCTCCAAAGCATCAGAGGTGGGATCAGGTGCCATGGAGGAGTGAGCATACTCTGCCTACCGGTCACACCCGCCCTGTGCTCCTTGTCATGATCGGGAAATAACGAAAAAATCCGTCGACATTTCATTGTGTATGTAATGACCTAACAATTCGTATGATAAGTTCAGCATTAAATTTTGACTTACTGATAAATTGTATTTGCTCACAAGGTCATTGTATAGAACTCAGTGATTTTAAACGAGACTTTGATATTCTTCTTTCAGCAACTTGTTTGTCAATGCCTTACGTTCGTTAAAAATTGTTCATAGAGCATGCTCTTGCGTATCGAGAGATATAAAGACCGTATGCAGGTGAAGGATGTATTGCTGCATATTAAGTAAGGGAAATTGACGATTGAAAAGTTTAAGCAATCATGATTATCATCTTGCTTAGTTGTTAGATTGCAATAAGAGTCTTTCCAAGTAAAATATCCATATATGAAATAGATGTGTCATACAACTTGTTATCTTTTATTTCAAGCTCACTGTGATATATCGTATCGACATATAAGAATGGACATAACCACTGTTAATTGACAATACGTCGTCTATATATCAAAATGTTGAGTTGAAGGCCACAGCAAGTATTTTCTTCTTTTCACGCATAAGATTTTGCACAAATTCTGCTTCATATGAATACAAAAATATGTCTGCTAATAACGGTTCGCAATTGGTATCCATTGGAATTCCAATTCATTGTTTGGAAACCTGGTCTTCAAAACCTACACAGATATTATCAATCAGAAGCTCAAGCATTATATAATATCAATTTTAGAGTACTTGGAGTACTTGTATGTACAATCAGAATGTTTTAAGAAAATAATTTTGCAAATGAACAATGACAAGGTAAGTAAATTTACGAGTTCCACTTTTATTGAAAAAGCAGCTGTCAATTATGAAAAATATGAAATGGTCTAACAAAATTTTGGTCATTTTTTTTTTAAAATATGGGTGTTTCATTTGTTTAACTCATTTGTGGACTTACAATACTGGTGAGTTGATTTTGCTTTCTCACATTTCAAAGTTCTGAATTTTCGATATCATAGTTTTAATTTTTTCATTTATAAACAACAAAATTTATACTTTAGGTATTAAAAAGGATAAAGTTTACTTTGTGAATGTTCAAGGATGTGTCAATAAGATGGATCCCAGAGATCGTAGTTCATAATTTCCAGATAAAGAAGGTTTTTAATTATGTTTCCATGTGAAGCACAGGAGTACGAAAGCCCTGGAGGGACATTGACTTATTTGCTAGGACTTATTTGTTACAACTTATTTGTTGTGACTAATTTGTTTGAATTTTTTGTTGTCGTATAACTAAATGAAACGTAGATATGGAAAACGTGTAGCTTAGCTTCCATTTTTTTTTTTATAAAATGATATTTTTAGTCCTAATTTAACCGTGGTTTTTGATTGATGAATTGTAGTTTAATGTCCAATACAGTTGTGACTATTTAATTCTTATCTGTTATATCTTGTAACTTATAATAAGTTGTTATAACTTAATTGTTATTTGTTAATTCTTAATTCTTATTTCTTGTTACTTAAAAGTTACTGCTTAATTCTTAACTGTAACTTCCAGTTTGCATAATGATTGAAGATATGAACATAACTACTATTTTATCTTGTAGTTAGTACTTAATTCAAAATATTACTTTCATTTTTTTCTAAAACTACATGTAACTTCATCTTCCACGTCATATTTGGTTAAGTGAACGTGTAATCACAAATTTAAAATAACAAGAAATAACAATTAAGTCATAAGAACTAAGTCAAAACACATCAGAAGTAAGTCATGTCCCTCCAGGGCTTTCACAGAAAAGAATAAAGTAATAATTTGTCTTTGAATTTACTTCTAACGACAAGATAAAATAGTACTTAAGTTCATTTTTTTAGTCATTATGCAAAT